TGCTGCACGGATTGAACAGAGGAAGAAAAACTCTCCAGTGAAGCCTTGGCTTAACCTCTCACCAAATTAAATGAAGCATTCAGCTGCCCCTTCGCCCTCTTCCTAAATGCATATTGCAACTTCCCTTTCCCTGTGCCTCTCTTAAAAACTCCCTTGCTCTTTTACGAGAAAGCTGTAATAGCACCAAATGCCTCTGAGAAAAACCCGCAGCCGGAATCAAGAGAACAAGAGAACACATCCGAACAAGAGAAACGCGTGCGTTGGAAAGACGTTTAGCTTGACGCTGGTTCTGTTCCCATCACCCAATGGAAAGGAAGCCATTTCGTGAACCAGCTCGAGTATCCATGGAGCATCAGGACCGGTTGCCACGCTGCACTGCTCTCCTTCGGCCTAAAGCTAAGAATAAACAGAATTGCCCAGATACGCAGGGCTGATGCGCGGGTGGATGTGGCGGCCCTGTGCGCCGAAGCAGCTGCAAAGGATTGTGGGTCAAACTTCTCCATATGTCTTCAAGGGATCAAGTCCACACTGGCAGCCATTCTGGTTCGCATTTGTCAGCCGCGGGACGGAGCTGTATAATTCGTAATCTGTATGAATTTCATGCTTGCTGCCATGGAAAAAATTCATTTCCTTCAAATTGTGAACAGGTGTTATTGCCTCCTGAACTTAACTCCTCTGTTACAACTTCGCGGGGCGTGGGGAAAGGGAGCGGGAGAGGGGATCCGTTTGAAACGGAGGGCTTTGTGTTGGCCGCTCGAGCGGTGTGGAGAAACACTACAGCTGAGCATGGTAGAAAATCCAATGAAGCTAATAAAACACAAAGGGGAAATCTGGTGAAAGAAAAAAAAAGAGAGAGAGCAAGCGAGAGGGAACTGCTTCAACACTGGAACAGACAATGAAAGTTAACTTAACCCGTTCCACGACTGAGATTTCCTTCAGCAAGAAGCGGCCCAGACCTTCCGTGATCGACAGCACAAATGCATCGGTAACACGCTCCTGTTCCGACTGCCCCAGTCCTCTCTTTGCACCGCGAGTGTCGCCCAGAAACTGCCCCCTTTCCAGGCAAGCACCTGGGCGCCCAGACCTTGCCTCACCTGTGTGGAGCTGCCCATGGACAGCCGTCCCGCGGGGATGAAAGGGGACGTCACATGCTCGCTTGTTCCTTCTGGGCACTTTTCGCAAGCACTATCAACTGAGCTGGCTGCTCCAGGCGCAAGAGTGTGGGGCAGCCCCACAACCCACTGGGCAAAACACACAGGGGCACTTTCTTAGAGCAATAGGGATCGACGAGACTGCTCCTGGACACCAGGGTGGCTCCCATTCCCTTTGCTCCATGAGGAATTTCCCGGGATATTTTATTCTGTGGGGTGAGAAGCACCCTGTGACCTGTCCACCCCATGTTCTGTCCCCAGGACTAAGGGCTGCCCAGGGGCCTTTCACATCTCGGCACCTGCACAATGCCTCAGAAGCACCTGCAAGCTCCAGGCAGAAGCAGCACCCAGCAACACTCTGCGCGCGGGCAGGAAGAGGCGACTCTTCACCGTTCCTGCAGGAAAAGGCTGCGCACTTTTGCACACACATATGATGAGCACAAGCTCCTCATCTTGCAAAGAGATGCAACAGCTACATCTTACAGCTTCAGAGTACTTTCGATGCTGCTATTTGCTTGCTGAATGACTAGCAATGTATTTTTAAAGGGGAATTAAGCCCGGTAAAAGGACTTCACAGGATCAGCTTCCATACAAGCTGTGCAAAATGCAAGGAAAATTGGTTTTCCCAGACTACAGATAATTCTATAGGACAAGGAATTCTAGCACTTAATCCCTGGAATGCTACTTCCGATTAAAGATGTGCTCTGTCTCTCCACTGTAACCAGCATCGTCGATCTTGTGGTAAACCACAAAACCCATTAAGATCAGCTGGGAGAAGAGATCACGCTTTCCGCCCCAGCCGTGCAACCGTTCCATGCGCGGGCACTCCGCCGTGTATTTGGGGCTGGCGGGGGCAGCAGCAAGGCAGGAGCCCGCAGGCACATGGGTCTTCCGTCTTGAGGCTCACAGCGGAGGCAGGAGAATGAATGCCAGAGGAGGCTGTGTGGTGTGACCCATCCGTTAGATACCTGTCATCACCATGTGCCGGGTATGTGTTGCCCAGTGCGCTGAAGTCCAAAGGCACTGCCCTCCTTCCACCCTGATCGGACTGGGTTCCAGGGTGCCCAAAACCAGGCAAACCCCCCAAGGGATACTGAGGGCTCTCCAGAAAGAGTGCTTCCAATTAGCCCTGTGCGTTGCTTGGGCACGTAAAGCCTGAAGACAAGCTGGAGCCTTTGAAAGAGCCGGGGCAGTCACCCTCTGTGCACACACAGAGTGCCCAAGCAGAGTTCAAAGGGAGAGAGGCAAGGGTGAAGCGCATGCCTGAGGCAATCGTGGGAACAGTCGTGCCCGAGTGAGCACTGGGCGGGCACAAGAAACGCCGCTCCTGGGGCATCAGGGAAGACCACGCTTCCCTGGGAGTCGGCCCCGCTGCAATCAGTGGGCCTTATTTCTGAATAGACACATATATAATAGACCGTAAGATATTTTACCTTAGCTTTAGACTGAGGAAAATCACCTTCCACACATTTACCAAAACCTTAATCCATCAGCCCTACGCAGACTCCCTGTTGCTGCCGACAAGCTGAACAGCACGGAGCGAGCAGCCAGAATCTCATCCCGAACTGATGGCGAACACGCCTGCGGACCCGGGTCGGAGAAGGGAGCCAGCCCTGGGCGAGAGCACCCTGCAAGGAAGCCAGAGTCCCTGGGAACAGCACTCAGAGTGCGGTGCGACCAGAGACCCACACTGCAAACTCACTTTGCTCTGTTCTGGGGCTTGTTAATTCTGGTTTGGTTGTGTGCTGATGTCCAGACTAGTTCACCGTAATGTTGAGTTGATCTCACACTTCCTGAATTTTCTTACCGACTTCCACGTACTGTACTGTTTTGCAACCAATTGTGTTTCCCCCTCTGTCATGGGTTTGGAAAAGTTAATGTGAGCTCGTTCTGCATGGCGTACGAGAAAACAGCAGCATATCAATAAGCAGGGTAAACCAAACTGGAAAAATAACAAAGACCCAAGCAAGATTGCCCAAAAAGCAGAAATGATTCCAAACAAATGTAAAGATTGTTATAATAACATAGTATAAATTGTAGCGCTGGTAATAAATACAGTACATTAAAGCAATGCCAAGCTACCATGTTCCCTGCTGATTCCAAACTGGTGAAAAGTTTGGGATGTTCTGATGTGCCTCAAGAGAGACTGCGCTAGCTGGTCTATAGGGCACACCAAGAGTAGAAAACCTTTTCCCATGAAATGCCAGCGACCGACAGGAAAAGCGGATCACAGTTGCCACGGGTGGTGGATGGAACCAGAACAGACCATGGGAAGCCGGGGCCAATGGTGAGCGACGCCCACAGCTTTGCAGGATCGCTTGACACTTTCTCTGCCTCCCCATCCCTTCCGCACACCCAAAATGGGGGCCGTGCCCAGGGGGGCAGTCCAGAGAGCCAGGCTCAGCCTGCCATGGCCTCGGGCTCGCCAAAGGGTGCTGCTGGCTACGCAGAACTGAGTCCGCGGTCCCACGCAGCCTGCAGGTTTGCCACACCTTGGCCAAGCATCCCCATCACTACCACCCATTGCCCTCACTAGACGATTTCCCAGAGAAACTCACAGGTGCTCAGAACAGCCCTGAGTTAAGCACAAACCAAAGTCTACCCGCCAACGGCCCTCTGACCCTTTCCGGCTCTACTCCCTGGCACCCCATGATCCTCCGGATGTTTCCGGAGCACAGCTCCCGTTGGCTTTGCCGGAGAGGCTTGATGCAAGCAGTGGCCCAGGAAATCCAGTCAGCTGTTGCGGTCTTTATGGTTTCTTGCCATTTTTACTGCGTTTTTATAGCTTTTTAAGACCATGCCAGTTTATTATGTGCTTTATTACCGCGTGTGGCCTTGGGAGAGCTTCTGCCCTGAAGCATTCAAGAAACATTCTAAATGAAATAAAGAAAATACTTATCTCTCTCTCTGTTGTAGATTTGCAGGACTAATCATTTTGTCCTGCCCAGAGAGATGAGTTCAGCAAAGAGCTAAGAATTTGTTTCCCAGAAGGAAGTCAGGTGAGGATCAGAGAATAGGGAAAGATGTTTTGCAAAAGTTAGGAAGGACAGAAAAAGGCCCACAAGGGCTGGGGTTTTGCTATTAGGGTAAGACTGAAGAAACGCAAGCATGTGTGCGAAGGTAATTTGGGGTTGGGAGTAGGCCCTGCAACGTTCTAATGTTGCTTCTCCTCTGTCAAAGTACACTGCTTTAAACAAACACTCAGGGCCGGATCCAAGGTCAGTCCCGTGTAGAGTAGACTCAATGAAACGAATGGGACTCATCGCCCAGGACGAACCTCAGCATCCTCGCCCGAGATGCTGGCTTCCTGGCATCAGCCATGAAGCTGTGCTCTTTGCATCAGCACACTCTCGACCCCCCAAAGCTCATGCTTCCCCCGCAGCCCCATTTTCAAGCCACGACAGAAAAAGGCCACGTTCCAGGCCTGGGACTTGTTTGGGGACTGCCTCTGGAAGCCCACCCAGTCCCCGGTGACACCAGGTCCTTCTGAAACATCCCCAGAGCAGGGCTTGTTTTGGGAACACGGCATTCTGGCAGACACCACAAAGGCCCAGCGACCCCTCCTTATCGCCCCCTTTTCCTGTGTGGAGCTTGCTGGGAGCTGCACGCGAGCGATTACTGCGGCACTCCGGCTTATCCCTCACCTTTGGCACCAGCACCGGCTAATCTTATCTTGAAGCTGCTGGCTGCAATGCCGAGATGCGCAGCGCTCGACGCAGCCTTGGCCTTCCTGAAACACCGGGACAGTCGAGTTTTACTGGAGGCTGGTAGATGATTTACAGAGTGGCTTTCCAGCCCTCCGAGAAAGAGCTCCTGCCTCAGGGGACGCAGCGCATTCTCCCTACTCACCCATCACGATGAGGGTATAGTTCACATTCGTGCTCCCAAAGCCGTTGGTGGCCTTGCAGACGTACGATCCTGCGTCCTCACTCTCCACTTCCTTGATCCTCAGCCCCTGCTGCAGGACGCGGAACCTCGTCCACCCGCTGTGGATGGTCCGCCCATCCTTCGTCCACATGGTGAGAGGCGGGGGGTCGCCTTCCACGGGGCAAAGGAGCTTGATCGTCCGTCCCAGTCGTACGCATTGCCGGTGGATCACTTTGTCAGCAACTCTGGGAGGCCCTGGAAGCAAAAGGAAAGAGGGAGTTGCTTATTTAACCTGGTGGCAGAAAGTTCGTAGAATCATCGAATAGTAGAGTTGAATGCAGCCATGAAGGCCCTCAGGTCCAAACCCTGGACCAAAGAATCATGGAATTGTGGAGTGGGAAGGGGCCGTGAAGGACATCGAGTCCGACCCCCTGCTGTTGCAGGACACCACGTGACACCACCCCACTCAGCGGGCTGTCCGTCAGTCAAAAAAGGTGCTACTTCACTATGAATCAGGAGGACCTAAGTCCAGCCACTCCCTGCCAGGGACCCACGGGGCTAAACTGGGGGAGTCGAGGTTCTGGACTGTAACGGGTGCTCTGGTTCAACCTGAGAAGGACAGGCGCATGCAGCATGGGTAGCTTCACCTGGCAAGCAAGACGGGGCCAGTGTGGAGGGTGGCAGCTGCGCCCTTCCCCGAACGGCAGGCCAGCCCCTTTGCCTCACTTCCCTTCCGGCTCCAGCAGAAGGCCTGGGAGGAGGGCGACATGGCCGGCCAAACCCCAACGATCCCACTCACAAGCTCCAGCCACCTTCTTGCGAGAGGAAAGCCCTCGAGAGTCAGAGATGCCCATCGGCACCGATGCATCAAGCGCAGGCGCAGCACAACTGGGAAAGGGGTTTCTCCTTCCCGACCTCCTCCTCAAATATCACAGGGAGCAGGTGGCTTCCCAGCCCCAAACTACCAACTGCTTGAAACATAACAAAACTTGAAACCAAAATTAGTAACAGCACAGGCAGTTAAAACAGTGTATTCTCCTTGAAGAATGTTTGCATGTAGAGCAATTCCCTTTAATAGTGACCAGATGGGCATTTTTAAACAAACCACGGAAATCTTATTAAAGTGCACAGAACGGCTCGAGATGATGCAGAATCGCTGGGGAGCGAATTCATTTCGCTCAGAAGGACACAGGATATCCTTGCGGTGGGGGGGTTACAGTCTACACCCCCCCAGTACAGTGACCTGCACTTCTTTTCTGCTAATGAATGAAGCGTTTCACTCTGGTTCAGGATCAGCCGTGGCTCACCTTCCTGATAAGGGGCTGCACAAGCATGCGCAGGGGAGACCCTGCAAATTCAAGGGGTGGTGCTGCCACCCCCTCCCCCATGAGAAACCAGCCCATGGGGAAGAAGGGAAGTAGCCCTAAGCTTTGCTGTTAGCATGCCCACACTGCTTGTGCAGAACATCCGGTGTGTAAGAGCGTTCAAGGAAGTTATTTTCCTCATCCGTACTAAGCAGCGACGTGGTCCCAGGAAGACACGCTTAGCTCAATCTTCGAATTTCCTCTAACAAGGAGCCCGGTCTAATGCTGGATTGAGAGGCAGCCATTGTGCCGTGAGCCGTGTCTCCTTGCAGCGCCCAGTCTAGTCTGAAATCTCTCGAACACTTGAGATATCAGCAGGGAGGGCTGGAGGAACGGGACCCCTGACGCAGCCGCTGATCCTCCATCAACGTATCCCTGGACGATTTACGGGAATCAAGTTGGGTCCACCTTAAAAGCTCGGGAGAGGACCCATAATCTAGCAAAACAAGTTCACCTTTTACCGCAGCTGCCTGAGAGAAACTTGACTTCAGCCTGATTCCAACAAATTCGAATTGGAAATGCGTTTCAGGGATGGCAGAAGAGTGCCTTCGTAATCCAGATCGTTGGCGCGACAGATCCCGATGGAAAGCAAGTTGCATTTTCCACCCACTCCAGGTTAGCAAAACACGATGCTAGCGGACGACTGTTTATATTACAGGGGTACAAACAGACAAGGAAGGCCCCTGGAACTGTTTAGGACGGCCGCCCCAAAGTCACAGATTCCTGGTTCCCGCAGTTTTTCCTCCAAAGCTCTTGGAGGCAAGATGAAAAAGGCCCTGAATGGCTTCATGTTTAAGTGCCGCAAATAGCACTGAATTGTTTAGAGAAGAAATTTCACAATGGTGGGGTCATTTTGACCCCATTAACTTGGATGTGGCGCACCTCATCCTCCCTGTTCGCTCGAAATGGGACGAAACTAAAGCCCAGGCTCTGCTACTGTTACCTCCCCATCTCTCGCTCGCTCGCGCACGCTCGCACGCACGCACGCGCACTCACGGGACGCCCCAGATCTTGCGGAGTGCCCCTCAGACGCAGGACGCTCATAAACGCGGCAGCAAGGGGGGGAGAGTTAGCACGCTTCCCCTCCCCAGATGCTGAAAGAGCGTTTCTTGTTCTGGGGGAAAGCACCGCGCCTACCTAGACGGCTGGGCTGGCCGGCATTTGTGTGTGTAACTCTTTGGGGTCAGTTGTCACCTCAGATGTGGACCCTGGTGTGGCAGCATCCCAGCAGCATCCCAGCTCCTGCCCAGAAAGGAATGGCTGGCACCTTGCGGCTGGTTCTCCGGAACCGCACAAGTCCGCCGAGCTGTTTGCGACGCCTTGATTTTGCACACTTCCCTGTTTCCTATCCCCTGCAATACGCAATTCTTACGTACCTTGCAAAGCGCATACTGTATGTCTCTTGGCACATATTCTTCTTCTGGTTCTCATGGGGAATCATCTGCAGAACCCATCAAGTTGAGGGGCGATTCCAAACTCCGTGAAAGTAATATGTGGACGTGTGTGAACATTAAGGCGCCATCACATCTGCAACCTGGCCCTTTCGTGCCCTCAGGACCTCAAAGAGAAGTCAGAATACCTTTGTGCGACGCCATTCATGCGCAGGAAAACCACAGGCTGCGCCGCGTGCCCGGGGAAGGATCCTGGCAAGTGTGTGCATCAGCATGTGTGCACCGCCTCAAATACACGGAGTGCAGCTTTCATGGTAATTCCACTTGTTTAAATGCTCCGGCTGGCAAATACTTAGACAAATGTGCTGATTTATTCCCCTTGCTTCGAACGACAAGCAACTGGAATCCCCATCCTGTTGCTTATTTTAAAAGGCGAGAAAGAGGTCCGACACCTGCCTCGGGCAACAGCTGAGCCATCTTCATTTTGGCTCTCACCGCTACCGCCCCTCTTTCCTCAGATGCCACGGAGCAGGTTCCACCGGCCACCCTGAGGGCACTCCAACTACATTCGGTTGCCCTTCCCGGCTCGCTTCACTTCCCCCGTTTGGGCCCCTGAGAAGGCCCATTTCGTCTGGATGTCTCAGAATAAAAACGGATTTTAAGACACAACGGCATCGGGAAAGCCTGGGAAACACATTGTCGGAAGGGCTTTCTGTGCTGGAATAGCATTTTCTATGCACCAGGGTAGAATGATTTGAGTCACAGATTAAATAACTGAGCAAAGCTCAGCTTGAATGCAGGTTCCCATTTATGCTTCAGAAATATCCTAAAAATGAGAGTATTAAAAAATCTAACCGTTAGAATCCCAGGATTTATGAGTCAATAAAGCTATAACCCCAGCAATATCCTGAATGCTAGTGCTGCTTATAAATTTTATATCAAAATTGTACCTATCACCCTACCTGGTAGAGAGTAGCTTACTTATGTCTATAATTATCTTTTCAATGATAGTATGTATATTATTTTAATAACATTTTTGCAAAAATTTAGAAAACAGGGTATGATATACACAAGGCTCATTTGATTTAAAAATGGTATTCATTCACGTTTGGGGTCCAGAAGCATCAGTGCTGTTTCTTGTTACCATTACATGCCATCCCATCATCTCTGATTTATGGCAGCCCTGCGAATGGAGGCTTTCCAAAATCCCCCGTCCTTTTTCACTCTTGCACGCTCGAGGCCGTGGCGGCCTTCCAGGAGCCGGTGCATCTCATAGCTGACTTTCCTCTTCTTTTTCTGCTTTTGCCTGTCCTTAGCAGGACCGTCTTCTTCAGGGAACTGGGCCTTCTCTTCTCTCAAAGCGCGACAACTTCAGCTTTGCCATTACTGCTTTCGGGGCAAGTTCAGGCTGGATGTGATCAAGGGCCACTCGTCCATCCCTCTGTCGATCCACGGTATTTGCAAAGCGATGCTGGCGGCTCTGATGCGGCACGGACAGAATGAGAAAGCCTGCAATGCTTGGAATGGGCAGACCAAATGTTCTGCGGATATCTGAGAAGCAGCAGAGTTTCCTGGAGTTCTCCAGCCATCAGCCCAAGATATAATTTCATTATGTCACTGCACTGGCAGAAAATATAGTGGAACACAGCTACCTGATGAATTGGAAGATCGACGCAAACTGGAATACCATTTAGCGTAGCTCGGTTACCTCACAGTCTAGTAATGCAAAGTCCCCAGAGCTCTCTCCTAAGGAGGCACAGGAAGTTTGCAGCAAAAAGCTCGAAATGCATCTGGAATGCTTAGCATGAGCTTGAAGCTCAGCTTGCGCTACTGAATGCACTCACAGAAAAATTCATTAGGGCAGGTCAGTACATAAGGCAGTCTGAACTTGCATCTGCAATGAGAATCCCCGACGTGAATTATCACGAGTGGAGTAAACCCTAGATCCCCTTTCCGCGATCATATGCAACTTTTGGCTTTACTCATTGGGCTCTCCCCAGACTGGTCCGAAGCACCTGAAAGTGCACTGGAATTCTCCTGGTGTCTGGGAAGTGTCACAGGTGGAGCGGTGTCTGTTCAGGTAACTGGAACTTTGTCCAGGACTGGACTGTCAGTACGTAAAATGCCGCGCGAGCTTCCACCCCTCACTCTGTGGGTTTCCAGGAGGGAAAGGTGTAAAGGAAGACAAGGTGGGGTTCAAAACTGTCCCCGCCTTGTTTTCCTTCTCATCATTCAAACCGTATGTTCAGGGTAACATGTAGCCTGGCCCTTAAACCTGAAATGTCCACTTTACTGGTGGACACTAGAAGTAGTGTTGAACGCTGTTCTGAAATGTCGTCGCCCTTCAGAGCAAGGGCCATCCACGCTCCGTGGCTCCCTTCCGAGCAAAACGCCGTGGCCTAACCCCTGGCTGCGCTGGGGGCATCCCCTGCGGGTGCAGCCCAAGAGGCACCAAAGGCAGGTTCTGCCGCACACGCGGATCTTTCTGCAGGGCACTTCT